ACATCATCGAGCCCAGCTGAGCTGATCTCAGCTCCTGGGCAAAATAGTGTCTTGCTTCTCCATCATCCCATGGGCCAGACTCCACAGCAGGCCTCTACAATGGCTCCTGCTGCCGCATCATATAGATGACACCAGTTCCTCGACCAAGTTGATTCGCATTCCCCCAGAAGTCCTAAAATCCCTAGTGTGGTGGGATTCTACAGTTCTACAATGAGGATCATTATTCTGAGAACCCCCAAGGGTCACGATCACCACCGAGGCCAGGCTGTCAGGGTGGGGTGCACACCTGAGATCGGAAGAGGCCCAGGGACTTTGGTCTCAGACGGAACAGCGCCGCACCATTGATTGGTTAGAGCTTCGAGCAATTCAGTGGGCCTCCTCCACCTACAGGAAGTGGTTGTCAACAGGCATGTCTTAGTCCTAACGGACAATATCACTGCCAAGGCCCATGTGAATCGCCATGGGGGGACGTGATCCAAGCTTCTAATGCAGGAAACCATTCACCTGGGTTGCTGGGCAGAGATAAATCTATTATCAATCCGGGCCAAACACATCTCTGACAAAGCCAACACCACAGCTAATTGGCTCAGTCGAACTCACCTGTACCAATCGGAATGGGCTCTCCATCCTCACTTGTTCCGATCAATGGTCAGACGCTTTGGCCAAACCATAGTCAATCTCTTCGCCAGCAGGGACAACAGGAAGGTACCTTGCTTCAAATTGACTGCTTGGCAGCTGAGCAGTGCACCATGACATCGAAGGATCTGTCCCCAGCAGTCATTGAGACCATCCAGGCGCCCAGGCAAACCTCCCCTTTCCGATGTACGGAAGCGTTATTTACCACTTTCCGTCCAGAGTTGTTAGGATGCAAAGCCTCATCAACAACCCTGGGACGCTGGATCCAGGCATGTATCACAAAAGCTTATTCTGTGCAATCACAGAATCCTCCAGCTCATATCACTGCCCATTCCACACGAAGCACAGCGATTTCAGTGGCCTCAGCTACCCAGGCCTCTCTGGAGGAGATGTGCAGAGCTGCCACATAGACTTCACCTTCTCCCTTTATTCGGCATTACAAAATTGATCAGTATGCGTGAACCGAGGTTATATTTGGAAGGTGAATGCTACAATGGGTTGCAGAGATTCGGCTTCATCCGGCCCAGTCATCTTCATCCCACCCATCATGAGGGGACAGCTTTGGTATGTCCCATACATGGATGCTGTCTCCACCAACCATGGAGAATGGGCGTTGACTTATCTGAGACACCCTTTCTTATGACAGGTGAAGACAGCATCTAGCCCGTCCTAATGTTCTTTTCATTTGCCCGGTCTGGTTTCAGTTGGAGAGATTGCATTGTTCAATTTAGAGTTTCACATGTCAGTCTGTTATCGTCTTCGTCAAAAAGCTGGGTATGGCTGAAGGAGAAGGCATGTTTTAAAGATATCAGACTCAGTCCTACTGGTGAGTGTATGAGTATTACCAATGCATGGATGCTGTCTCCCCCTGTCCTGAGAAAGGGCATCTCAGGTAAGCCAATGCCCATTTGTTTCCACACATTATTTTAGTCTGATTGAGGGTGTGTGTGTGTGTGTGTGTGTGTGTGTGTGTGTGTGTGTATTCTTAGAAATATTAGAGTGTGTGCGTAGTTGTGTGTGTGTGTGTGTATGTGTTTGTGTGTATTCTTAGAAATATTCTCCATGCTAGGCATTCCCTGCAAGTTTGATAAGCATTCTAATATCTCATCCATATCACTAGGCCCAGAGCACTAGACCCAGAGCAAAGCCTAGTGGCAACCCACTGGAGATGTCTCTCTAGTAGATTTGATACATTTATAGCTATTTTTTGAGTGCAATCTTTGAGCCAACTGTGAATCCACTATATTGTGTTGTCAAGCCTGTACTTCTCTATTTAGTTATTAAAAATGCTATAAGAGACTTGTTTGTGTTTTGTGTTGCAATGCAATGCTAAACTAGAAATTGAAGCTAATTCAAAATGCAGTGGTGATGCAAACACTAATGTTATGTTTTTATTTTATTGACTACATTGACTCATAGCTCATTTCCAGACTCAATTTAGCATAAACTTTTAAACTTTAAATAAGCACTGTAATAGCCAAAGGACTGCTGAGCTTTTTAAATGGCTGCCTGTATATTAACATTTTCAACAGAGATTGCTCCTGCTATAATTGGAGGAATTATAACTGACACAAGAGGCAAAGATTTACTCAGCGATAGCATCTTAATGTGGGACATTAATTGTATGTATGTATGTGCGTGTGTTTGTGTTTGTGTGTGTATACACACATACACGCATACATGCATGCATACATGCATATATGCATACATACATACATACATACATATATAGTATATATGTATATACTGTATGTATACTGTGTGTGTGTGTGTGTGTGTGTGTGTGTGTGTGTGTGTGTTTTCGTAGATTTTCACGGGTATAGGTATGCTGGTCTTGTTGTATTCTGGTCTTTTCCCATGTAAGATTGAGATTGTCTTGGTAATGTTTCTGCGAGGTCTCATTCGCCATCTTCAGACTGTCTGTCAACACGAAACCAACAGATACACAGCCAGCACCAATCAGCAGCAATCTACCAATCATGATACAACCACACGACCAATCATTCCCCTTACTGAAACAAAGCCAGCACTTCACACCCCCATCAAGATTTATAGAAAGACGGCAGCTCCGAACACTTTTTAAGCCCAAAACCCAGCCTGAAGATAGCGAGTGAGATCTTTCAATAATAGGTGAAGGTGCTTAAAGTGTTTTAATCCTTTTAAGCTTCTATACTATTCTTATATATTTTTTAATTTCATCAATGATGCTACTCCTTTCTATTGTGATGATTTAATGTTCTTGTTTTATTATACTGATTTTAATATGTGAAGTGCAATTTTAATATTTTGCATGTTATTCTAGAACCCTGTTGAAGAAAAGGAAATATATCAAGTACATAATTCAAGAAAATTAGTTCATTAATTTGGTTTTTGTAGTTCCTTTAATTCATGGAATATTGTCCATGTAAGAACCAATGACCTTTAAAATGTAACTTTCATAGCTATATTTTTTTCCTGTGATCAGGTTGCATGGCTTCCATTTCATGCTTTTAAATGGAATGGTTGCAGACTTTGTTTGACTGCAAAGATTGTATTACATTTTGTTTGACAAGGAAAGCTAAAAGGTTTAGATTTTATTCAGAATTTTGTAATTTAAATGTATAGAAGATGCAAAGTAGCTATCATTGCATACCAAAACCACAAAAATCAATTGTACTTACTTAATTGGTCCTTATCTTGCAGTTATAGTATATAACATGTCTTTTTAGAAAGATGGCAAAAGGGTATAATTTCTACCCTTCTGAAGTACTCAAGGTGTATAGTTACTCTTTCCTTTTAATGTCATTCCATTTTCTACATCCAGCATTATCTCCACTAAACATGTAAGCAATTTAGATCATTAAAAATTTAGATTAGTGAAAACAAAACCACATGATAGTTAAAAAGCTTGGAAAGAACCATAGACTTTTAATGATCAAATATAGCTAAAATCAAGATTATTAAACCTTTAATAACAATGTTAATTTGTTGATCCTTGTCACATCCAAGGTTTTTCATTCTACTCTTTTGCTTTAGCTGTTGTATTCTGTATCATACTTTTCTAAAACTGTTTCACTTCTACAAAATAGGAATTAGGGATCACATTATTTGGGAGGTGAGTGGCATATAAATTAAATAAATAAATAAAATTAATAACAAAATCAACTGTAGAAAAGTCAACTGAAATTAAGTTTAATAAAAACCATTAAATTAAAATCTATCAATTATTTCTTTTCTTCTACTAGAATAAATACTTTGTATCTTGTCATACTTAAGAATCAGTTATTAAAATTATGGCAAAAATATTTGATATAGCGTCTGATTTAGATTTAATGAGAAATCACAGTTTCGTATTGTACACATTTTTTTTTGCAAGATACATTCATTTTCTAAAAATGCTATTACAGATACCAGTTTGGTCATCTTCATTTGAAGATGCTATGAGTTTCCTTAATTCCAGTTTCTCAAGTTACCCCATTGCATTTAAAAAATGAACTTCCATTTCCTCACGATTTGAAAGATGAGCAAAGGAGTGATAAGTGGAAGTGTGCAAACTTGAAATGTACGCAAAAACTTTTACATTATGGAAAACGTGGTACTTCATAGCTTTGAATATGTTCAAATATGAAAGAGTTCACTCAACCAATTCCAACTTCATGAGATCTTTTTCTTTCGCATGAAGTTGGAATTAATTGAGTGATTTTTTTTTTAGTCCCACAACCTTTTGTTTCCTGGAAATGCGATGGAGAAACACGATGGAGCTCGGCTGGGGCAATGGCATGCATGCCTACAGAGAGGGCTCTGCATACCACCTCTGGCACGCTTTCCATAGGTTCACCACCATGGCCATAGAACACGCATTTTAAAAAACCCAAGACTGGAAATTTCAGATTTTTCTTGTAATGATATTTTCTGATTACCTCATGCCCTCTAAACTCACTATCACTAAAAGGAATAAAGAAACCCTGTAATAAAAAATGTATAGCTGCTACCTAAAATAGTAAAATTCATTTCTTAAATTATTTGATTCTTTGAAAGCTACTCACCCTCAGTTTTGATTAATAAATTTACTGGAATTTAAATTGGTCTTGGTGGGCAGAGACAGAGAATTGACCTAGATCTGATCTACAAAAGTTGCTCTTATTAGGAAACCAACCACACTTTAGTTAAGAGTGGGAATTATTAAGTCTCCTGTAAGTGATGATAGTTATCCAACTCTTAACTTACAGTTATTTTTGCTCAGAAATAAGAAACAATCTACAACAGAAAGATGATCCAGGTTTACAAGTTTTTAGAACTTTTCAAAATAATTGCTTTTATTTCCCATTTGATCAAACAATAGTTTTGATTTTCTTTTTGATTTCTTCTTTTGTTTCATATGACAGCACCATCTCCAATCACGAATGTGAAAAAAGGGAAAGTCACCAAAAATAGCATTTCATTCTCCTGGCAGGAACCAGATCGACCCAATGGCATCATTCTGGAATACGAAATCAAATATTTTGAAAAGGTGTGATAGTCTGTTTCCAACATCATATGGATTTTGATTTCTTTACTTTTCTGTCCTTTTGGAATAATTTCTGTTAAAAAGTATTGACATCATTTCTTATTTTAAGTTACTGCTAAATATTGTATTGGATTATGAATCTTTAACATATATGTTTATGCATGCATAGACATATTTTCATTAATACATTATTTGTCTCAAACAAAAAACATTTTAGTTTTCCTATTAGTTTCATTTTCAATCATATTGGATAAAATAAAGATGATGTACACTACAAATACTCAAAAGTCACCATACTTCAAAGGGGCATCCTCCAAGAATTGGAGATTCTGAGATTAGATGAGCATGAGAATATTGCCAAAAAGTCATGTACATTTAAAATAGTTAACAAAAATGACTAAAATCCCTGTAAAATAAAGCAGTGCCACATAATGAAATAGCAGGGTGCCTTAGTAAAGAAAAATGCTAGTAGTGTTTTGTTGGCAAAGAAGCTTCAAACTAAGAATTGCTGACTTCATAGTTCTTTTTTTAATTATGCTCATTTTCCATTTTTATTATTTTGGGAACTCTTTTGGTTAAATGTTTAAGTTTCAAAATGCCAGGACAATACAAAGAGAAAATCCACAAAAGCAGCTTTCGGTGCTCTATGCAACTCTGAGTGTTTTTACTTTCCCAACTAACAATTCCAAATTTCAGTTTGATTGAAAATGATGCGGCTTTGCTTTATAGATTCCTAAACTGTGTCCCACATGACAGCTGTAATTCCCAAATTTCCTAAAGCAAATATTAAGTTAAGCCCACCTAGTTGCCCATTGGTTCATAGTACACAAAAACATCACTAATAGCACAAGCAGCTGAAAAGAACAAGTAAAGACAGTTTTATAAATTGCTGCCTATTAACTATTAACAAGCAGGGACATTTTATACTGTTCACCAAAATACAGTGCTTTTGTGCCAATTATATCTACTGACTAGGGAAAAATGTTTCAAAACTTTCTTGAAAGAGGTATACAAACCATTAAGATCCAATTCAAACTCAACAATATGATTCAAAACAATGCAGTTTGTCTTGACAGGTAGATCATCGTTGCATCTTCTAGAATCATCTCATTGTCGTTGTGCCAAAAGAATAGTGATGAGGAAAGGTTTCCTATCGCTTTAGTGATAACTGGATAATGTGAAGACAAAGTGTGTCAGAAATGGGAACGTGGCCACAAAATTTCTTTTCCAATTTGATCTGATAATAAGAAACATTTACTACAGCTTTAGTCCAGAAAATACAATTGTACAGAAATACATTCCCTTAAATAATACTAAACACATTCTCTTAATAAGACTAAAAAGCAAGTAGAAAATACAATAAAATTATATAACAATAAACATAATAGCAATAATGCGAATATCAGTGGCGATCACCAAATTGCCACTAATATTCAGGCTTAGGTAGAATTAATAGAAAAAAATAAAGGGACAAAATCAGATATCATGGAAAGATATATCATAGTGCTGAGTGAATAAAAGGAATGGCAGATAAGAGTTGTGCTCTCTACTAGAGCAGTTCTTTAAAATAGGATCTATATATGTTTTCTAAGATCTTGCAGGCGGCATACAAATTCCATAGAGCCATCCTCACATGGGCATAAACACTGCTGAAGAGAAATATTTTTATGCCTTCCAAATAGAACTATGGAGGGTAGTGCATCCAAGGTTGTCAAAGCAAAGGTTTAATGAAAATTCAGATTTGGAAATGGCATCTGCCTATTTGAGAAAAATCCATGAAATGTGGGTTTGCATACTAGGCTTATATTGGTTTGGAAATTGGTTTCGCAACTTTTGAGCTAGAAAACTTGGCAGATGTTCTCTAAAATAAAACTAATGAGCTTGCTGTAAACTCTTGTTAGACTTGTTGATTTAAAATCAACCAGTAAAACCAAATCTAAAAGGGGGGGGGATAATCAGAAAGTAATGACATAATACCAGGCTTTGGAACCCACAAAATCAAATCTGACTCTCATAGGGGAGCATTTTTTTTACATATAGCAATAGCAGTTAGACTTATATACCACTTCATAGGGCTTTCAGCCCTCTCTAAGCAGTTTACAGAGTCAGCATATTGCCCCCAACAACAATC